AATTGAAGTGTCTGGGGGCGTTTATCAATATATACCCATTCTGACCGGCCGACTGCTCAGTATGGAACCATAGACTCATCCAATTATGACGCAGGATAGAAGTAGTTGAAACCGAGAAGTCGGCTGGTGCGATGACTGCTGTTCTGAGCTTGCCTAGTACAGGGAGACTGCCGAAGAACACCTCAGGTTGGGCTGACATGAAGACACTGCCCTCCACTATATACAATTGGTTCGCTTGAGGGTTATACCCGCGAGAAGCAATCGTAACACGCCACCTGTTGGAGCTGCTCGCTTGGCCCACTGGGGAGGGTGGGTTATCGACGACGATCTTGATCATAATACTGCTGCCACTATAGATGACATCATAGCCCGACAGACCAAAGCTGCACTCATTGTTGCCACTGAACGACCACATCTCGGGCTTCTCCACCGTGCCCTTGCCTTGCGGTAGTCTTGTCTTGAATAACGACAGACTATCCTCGACAGCCGCAGTCTCACGGCAAACGTAACCTTCTGGTAGACTCAAAGTGAATAATGCGGCAATTGCCGTGCCGCTACCACCAGCAAACAGCGTCGCGCCGAGGTTTAGTTTCACATAGATGATGTTACCAACATCGGATTTGAAGGGTTTCGTATGACCATCAGTGGCGAGTATCTAAGTAGCACAACTGTAGCCCCTGTGTGGTAATAGCTACTTACCCTTGCTAGAGTGAATCCTGCATCAGGCTTCTTCCAAAGATAATCTCCACTAGACATGACATAGGAGGGGCTCTCGTCAGCTGACGTAGTGATCTGTGCCGCTAGCCTGTCAGGGAAGAAGCCTCCCCGAGGTAGGTCCAAGTTATTCAGCTCTATCTTCACCATTCTTGTGCCGTACAGAGGAGTCATTCCATCAGGCAAGCTGAGCTTGAGGATGTTCTTGTGACCGTTGGGCACGACTGACTCTGTCTTCACTTCAGTGATGTCACCACAAACACTCGTTGAGTCGACGGCAGTGCACGTCATAGTCGGCTCTCTCTCCATATCCCATTCTAATAAGGGCCACATGTATATCCTTAGGATGCTGCCACCG